TGAACCAGTCTTCCAGTTGTGTTTCGGGAGGCAGATCACCCTCTCCACATTTAAGAGTAGCTTAAGACATTCCCTCTTTGATAAAACTTATAGGTTAGGGCTGGATCAGGTGGAGTCCTGAACCATCCCTTAGTTTGCTGCTATATGCCTAGACTGCGAGGGACTTGACCATGGTTGCACTGAGCTCCCTCTTCCTCTCTCTTCTCTCTCTTCTTCTGCACACATTCATGTCCCATTAATGCATGTTACTAACTTCACTTCTTCCTGGATTCATGGGCTTTCTCGTCTCGCAATTTCCCATGATCATGGTGCGCCTGCAGCTGACGCACCACGCTAATACTATTGTTGCTTCTTGGTTCTGTGTCTCACTCTGGCCTCCATTTCACTTTGCAGATTTCACCAGCAACCTGTCTTGTTTTAGTGTTCATGCACTGATACTTATCGGTTATCCCACTATGACCTGTGGGTGTGTCGCTGCTGTCCGACCAGATGGAAAACAGTATGTAAGTAAGTAAGTAACTAAAGCATTATATCTATATAGACCTTTTTAACACAGAGGCCCAAAGTGCGGTTACAAACAAGCATACATATGGGTTATTACATATAACCTAGGAGAAAGCATGTAACAGGGAGAAACAGAAACTGGACCAAGAACGGACCCCTGAGGGACACCACCACAGCAGGGAGCATTAGGACGGAAACATGATTATTTATGCAGACATTAAAGACTCTATTAGTCAAATAGGAATGAAACCATTTAAGGCCTGTACCCAGAAATCCAAACCCAGTTCTATCTATCAAGTAAAATGCATTGATCGATGGTATCAAAGGCTGCAGTCATATCAAAGAAGAATAAGGACGGAGCTTTCACCTTTGTCAGCATGCATAGGATGTCATTAGACACTCTCAGTAATGCTGTCTCGGTGCTATGTTTTTGGCGAAAACCAGATTGGAATTTGTCAAAGATTCTATGACCTTCTACCAGCTTCAGGAGCTGGTCCGCGACAATCTTTTCAAGGATTTTAGATAAAAAGGGCAGTTTGGAGATAGGTCTATGTCACTCCTGTTCCCCTGAAACCTGCATACCACTCCCCACTACCACAATACAAAATACCACTTATGACGATTATTTACTGACATACAGTGCTGACTGTTGGTACTGTTATGTCACTGGTGTGTGCCGAATGAAAATTTACATGTCACTGTAGCTAAATCCATACTGAAAGATTCTTGGAGGCAACAGTCACTGATGTGATGAGTAGAGTAAAGTTAGGTAAAGTTTACTTGCTCTGTATTTTCCCAAAAAGTGACAGCAGGTCTGTGTTATGTATTCAAATCAATTTTATTTTCAGAGTCCAATAGCAAACTTAGTTTTCACTCAGCTCTGACAGACAGGGGTTTGATACAAGCCATATGATAAAAAAAGGCAATACCAAAAATTTGCTTAAATACATAATACAACAATGGGAGTGTAATGTAACAGCATTATAATTGGTCAAATACTGATTTAAAAGCCAATGAAGACCAATAAAAATAATACATTACAGTTAAAAAGTAATGTAGTCTCATGACTACATTTAATACAGTCAAACTGAAGTAACTGAACAAGGAAAGGTATTTTCTTGTCCGAAGTGTGGCGATAGATTATTATATATACATATAATATATTATTATTATAGATTATTAAAGTGATGCTTAGAAGTAGAAGCAAAAAGCACTAACCATAAATTATTTTTGTTCACATGCATTCAAAATTCTTAATGTTAGTCCATCTGCTCTGTCATTCTAAAATAATCCCTGAGTACACACAATATATGGGCACTTTTCACATAACAACACTGTGTGAAACTTTGCAGTTTTCTTACAATCTTGACATACTAACTTTAGGTTCTGCCATGGAAGTCTACCAATGTTTCTGACTGGAGTCTTGAATTGATGTTGAAAATAAGCTGCGTAATTTCTGCAGAATTGCACAGTAATTACCAGAACTAGTTATACAAGGTTTAAGTGAAAGCTAACAGTAGGCAAAAACTGTTATTATAAATAGTTTAAAAAAACTTTTAGAACCAAAAATGGTTTATCTGAAAAGAAACAGCCGTAATCTTGTTTTATTAAGGGAGTATATTTCCAGCACTTCATTCAAAACCCCATTTAAGTTTTTGTCCAGTTTAGCATGCTCAAACAAAGCTAATGCAAAGCTTCAAAGATGATGGATTTTTTTTAACACAGTAGAGGCTGTGACATATCACTTAAAAAAACAATGCTCAAGTGCATATATGCATATATACTTTACATATCCAAACCAATCACAAGTTGAAGTAGCACCCTGAATAAAGGAATTGAGATGTTTACTCAGATCTCTCTAGATCTCAATCCGGATGAACTATGGGAGATTTAAGAAAGACCACCTCTCCACTGCCATCCACTGAATATCTTTTGGAAGAATGGCATTCATCCCTCCAGTAGCATCTATATCAAGGACACTTAGTGGAAATACATCTTACTAAGACACTTCCTGTAATTTGTCACCCTTCTGTATACACTGCATATCTTCTAACCCTGAATACTCAGTTAAAACTACAGCAGACAATATTACTAAATTATCATTATTAATTATTAATATAAATTATTAACTAACTAATTTTAGGCATTGCATGTCACTAAGAATATTTAATTTAAAGGGGGAAAAAATGGAGTGCTTGCCCCTTTGTATTTAGATTTTGGGAAATATGTACCCAGTCTGAATCAAACAACCAGTCAGGGTTAGCTAGGATGTAACAAGCCAATCACAGCAACCATGTCTTGGTGTGTTGCTCTCCAAATTAATGTCAAGAGCTATTGCAACTTGTGATAAATTTCCAGTACCTCCTTCACCGAAAACAGCGTATAGTTAAAAACAACCCGAAAGAAGGGAGACCTTGGAAGAGAAGAGAGAAAAAGAAAGTGCAAAATAAAAACATCAGAGCAGAATGACGCGAGGCAGCAGACAAAGATGAAGAAGGTTTTGCATTGCGTGCGTTCATGTCGCCCACTGCAGCTTTAATTTAAGCATTAACAGGAAGTACTTTAAAGAGGTCACATTTTTCTCATTTTCAGGTTAATACTTGTATTTGGAGGGTCTTTACATTCTCCAATGGTGTCTGCCATTTCTGCAGCTCCTCTATCCACCCTCTGTCTGACACACTGTTTTCTTTAAGGTCCCGCCCCCCTTAGTCAGCTTCCGTATTCCTGAGCAGGCACCACCCACTGCGTAGATTCACTAGGGACTGGACTGTCACCTAGCCTATAGGTGGTGCCTGTTACGATGTGATGTTATAAAGGAAGTATAAGTACAAATGAGGTGTGTCAGGCAGTGCATAAGCAGTGTTTTCTGTGGGAGATACATTATTAAGATTGAATTCTCTATACTAGAAATGCACCAAATGATGATGTTTTTATCAGTTTGTAGCCCTTTTCAATCCATACACTCAGATGATCTCCTTCGTTTAAATCAAAAAGCTGCCCCACAAACACACTCTTTGACCTGTCTTGAGTGCACTCTACATCATCCTTGGCATCTGTCAGTTGCCTTTGTTTGGTGTAACGTTCATTCCAGCAGCGCAGTCGTAGACTGAACAACTGTAAGTTTTGAGTTTCCTCACCATGGCAGCTTAAAGTAATCCTCACATAGACAAAATAGATGCCCGATGCAGGAATCACAATGGCACGTGTCTTTTCGTTGTAATATTTACCAAAGTCGACATCCCATTCAAAGTACTGTCCATCACTCATTTTGGTCTTGTTGGTTGGACTTGGGGGCCCTGCAGGATAAAACCATACAGTAAATCAGCCACTAGTTAGCTAGTAAGCTAGTAGGTAGTAGTAATCTTAGCCGTTCTGCCTGGGACTGGGTGCTCAGAGCACCAGAGGGAGTGCTGGTATTTATACTATATTTATACTTATACAGGAGCTTTAGACCGCCGGGAGAAAGACTTTTTTAGGCCTGGGACAGTGGGAAATGCTGAGGGAGAGCGAAAACTAAAATCCTTCATCCGGTTCAAATCTTAAAGTTAAGAGGTAAAAAGCACCAAGATCTAAACAGTGGATGGTAAAAATTTGGCTTCAGACTGGTTAAACATTCAATGTATGACAGCTTCTGGCAGACAACCACAACGCTGATGCATGCACAAAGGGGATATGACGCCATTGACAGTAAAACGCAGCGATACCTGAATAAAATTACAGATTTGAAACATTTTAGATACTGGAAGTACACTGAAATTATAACAGAGTGCTGAATTTTTATATATGTAACATTTTAATGTGGAAATGTTACATATTATAGCTTTAAGAAATGTAATAATATCATTATGTGGGTCTGTGTAACTGTAACTGTAACTGAATGTAGAGTTAGAGTTAGTAAGAGTTAAGAGCCACATGTGACTCATGCTGACACAAGGTCAGTTTTGCAACATTTGGGGCGTGACTCATTCTTTTGAAAGTGAGTTTAGGGATCTGTTCATATTGTTTTGAGGCTTCTTAAGGAATGCTGGCTGTACTTGATGTTTACTCTTTTCCAGATATTTAGTATTTATTTTTATAATTTACATAAAATAAGTAAAATACATGTGAATAATAAGACATACAAATATAAATTAACATAAAATAGATGTTTCAGTACTGCTACTTTATAGTAGTACTAGTAAAACTCTCTATAGTAGTGAAATCTCTAGAAAAACACTCACTGAGATGAATGCGCAGTCTGGTCTGTTTATCTGGAGAGAGAGAAAGACAAGAGAAAGGTGTTCAAATAAATGCAAACCGGATGTGCGTTATGCAACAGTATGAACCAAAAGTAGATACTTTATATGGAGCTTTACCAAAGGGAGATTGGATAGCACTAAAGAATAAGTTGTAAACTGAAATCCTCCCACTCCCCAAAGACAATCAAATGTATTAAACATGAAGTTACTGACTTAACATACCTTCAGGAAACAATGTCTCTTGTCTAGAGTATGGTGCTCTTTGCTCAACTGCACTCTGAGAACAAAGCAGAAGACATTTTTATACTTGTTTCATCACAAGCAACAAGTCAGATACCTTAAATTGCGACCATTATATGGATTATACAACAGCATGTGGAGAACCCAAATGTGAAAATCCTGTCTTTACAAGTGATACCAGCAGCGAAAGGGAAGTAAAATGTGGTAGCAACAGGCTGTATGGGAGAAAATTGCTTCATCACAATCAGTGGTTAAATATAGTTGGTCAGCTATCTTTTTTTCCAATGAAATATATTCTGTATATTGGACTGGACAGTTTGCTGTCTATAATGATGATATTTGGATTAAAGTAACACTAGTAAAAATGTGGAAACAACCACCTATGTTAATGTAAATTCTATGTCGTTTCTATTCTATCCTATAAGTACTCATTCATTCAGCTTAATCTGTTGCAGCCCATCTCTAAATCAATGCATTTATCATTAGAGATGTAGTATGCTGTGCATTGTGCCTGCCCTTAAATCAACCCAACATCCCTCACTTCACAAGTTTAGTGAACTGATGGCAATGTAAGAGTGAAAAGTTCCTATTCAGTAAGTCAAGTTTCTATGTATATCCAAATATTACATAAAAGCTGTCACATGCTTACATCGACAGTTCAGACACAGCCAAATGAAAGAAAGGAAGGAACATTTTTTTTTTAGAATTTACCCCTTGTCCACGGGAGCCAGACTCCTCATGCTGCCTTAAACCGGAACTGGTGGTGTAAATGAGCAGTGCCATACATGTGAGGAGCAGGATCAGGGTGATGAGTCTGAGGCGCGTCTCCTGTTGCTTCATGTCCTGGCAGTGTTTGATGAGGATGAGCACAGACTCGTCCCGTCCTATATCTATCATTGAATCCCTGCAGGCAGCCTCAGCTGGCAGAGTGTGTCCCCTCAGTTTCTGTCCCATGCTGGCAGGTATGATCTCTCTTTGTGTCTCTCTGCTGGCTGGTCCTTAAAAAAGATGTTTACTGTGTGCAGTGTCTGATATTTGTAGTTGAACACTGGGGCAGTAGCCAACCGCCTACACTCAAACTCTTCAGGAATTACCTCATCTTTCCATTCATGTAGATGGGAAGGGAGAGGAAGAGGGAGGAGCACCCACCAGATAACCAATTAATGCCCATGGCTTTATCTCTCATGTACTAGATATTATTATTATCATCATTCCAGTCATAGGGCTAAGCATCTTTTTCTTTTTTTTTTTCCCTAAAAAAAATCACTGCAACATTATGATTTATTAGAAGTTTCTGGGCACCTGATGAATGTAAGTTAAAATAGTCCAAATCAAGCTAAAAACAATCCACCAGTCATTCTGAAGAGCGGAACATCTTTTGCCATTTATCCAGCTTCATTTGTGCTTTTTCTGCCAGCGCTTCTTGACATGTAGACAGCAGCTCTGCGTCAACATTGAGCATTTTGTTGTAGTTAACACCCAGACAAACTTCTCCAAAACATCACTCTCCTGCCCGTGAATGCATAATAACATCAACTGACTTTAAACCAGAAGTCTGCCTGTAATTAAAATGTAATACTGAAATATACAACCTGTTTCTAACCACTGTTGTGTCTAGAGGTTTTAATCATATCTGAGTCATTACAATTAGACCTGAAAGCAGACATGACTTTTCACTTATATCTAGGGCTGTCATAATCTCCATACTAAATAGAAAATTAATGAAAAGTTAATAAAGGTAAAAAAAATCGTTAAAAAAGGTAATAAAATAAAGGTCTTGAACTTAAACATAAACTTTGAATTTTCATTTAATCATTGAAGTAGAACAAAGCTGCACTTTTAAACTTGAGAGCGTGCCCACTGCCAGAGTCCGAGATGTTGCAATTTACCCTTAGTCCCACTCCTTTTGGAACCTCTGTCAACTTCCTCCTTTCCCATACTTAGATTTGCTATAGCTACACTAGGCTCATCTGTGTTAAAAAAGACAACCACATTTTGAAAATAGTTAATAGATAAAAGTGACAATAACATCTTAGTTAGCAAAATTGCTACATAGCTAGCATTTTCCTCCGTAGCAAAACAAAAGCAACTAGCTAACAAGTTAGCTAATGGTTTATGTAGATCAGCTAGCTAGTTAGATAGAGTTTTGCTAACATTAGCTAACTTAAGATGTGACTAACGTAAAACTGTTTCCAATATAACATGCTTCTAGGAATCTTATATATCGGGGCTTGCTCAAATGCATTTTTCCCTTAGACCCCCATTTTAAAAGTTGTTCATAGGACACCTCAAACTGCAAACAAAGTCAATTGTGACTCCTTCTAGTGTGAGTTTCTGGGCTGTGAATTTGCAGGTGAGACCAGCAGGACAAACGCTTCTGCAGATATTCAGAATACTGCTAGAACACTTTTTGTACCAGGTGAGCAATTCTCACTGGACAAAATTTTGGACTTGACTTTTATGTCTTTTATATCTATTTATTTATAGTTTCACACAACTCTGCTGTGAAGAATATAAGAGGATACTGTAGGAATGCTTTCACAACAACACGCAGCCTTTCAGTAACTATTTTGCTTATCTATCCACTCTCCTGCTGCAACGTGCTGGTACTTACCTCACACAGCAGGGACCAACAAACCTGCTAGTAACATTACGGTTCAGATTACAAAGGCAATCTTTCCTTAAATGGGGGCTGGTGGATTTTTGCAGGTAAGGAAAGTCAAGTTGTTTTTGCAGAAGTACCATTCTGCCATCTAGTGACTTTTCTTTTCTGTGCGTTGCAGAACAGTTTCTGTTGTATCATTTTTAATGATAATGATGATTAATTATTGAAATTTGACCATATGGCCTTAGTACAAAATGAGATTTATTTTGTGAATTACTTTACTATGTTTATTGAATTTGCATAAATTAATTAAGGGTAATTACATATATAAGCATATTTGTATTCTGTTCTGCAATGTAGATGGGCGGCTGTGGTACAGAGGCAGAGTGGGTCGTCCCCTAATTGGAAGGTTGCTGGTTCGATATCCGGCTCCTACTGCCACACGTCAAAGTATCCTTAAGCAAGATGCTAATGCTAAGAAAACAGCCCTGAAAAAGTTTTTTGTTAAAAAGGATTAAAGAATGGCAAAATAATTAGTGTTATGTTGTGTTTAGGGTTAGGGTTTTGCTGAAATTAGATATTGGCACCTTTTTGGGTTCAATTCAGGCACTGATTGTGTAAATGTGAAGACAACTTATTAGTAGGTCTCTCAAATCTCAATTTACTGATCATTGTAGAGTAAACTGAATAATAAGTGAATGAGTAATTGCAGAAACAACAAAAGTGTTCATGAAGCTGTTATGACTGATGTGGTCCTGCAACATCACCTTAGGTCTGCTATTAGTTGATTCAGTGCTTGAAGGAGGGCATTGTGGGTAGACTCTTCTCCTTACCGAGGGTTAACCTTTGTGGCTAGCAAATGACGCTGAGACAGAAGTAATAATAACTGCAGTTCCTCTAACGGCCACTTGGGGCTGGCTCCAGCAGTGAGTCAATCTCCATAAGGCCCCATATTAAAATGTCCAACTTTACATTAGATTGACTGACAGGTGAGTGCCATCACAGGCGAATGTTTTCAGTAACCAGGCTTCATTCAGCCCGACTCAGCTCCACGTATTTGTCCATTTTTGGATTAGCCGGGAGCCGACAGAGTCAGGACCACCAAGATGGCGACGGCCAGAGCCGACCACACTGAGCTTCACAACGGCTCTTCAGGTGACATTATGGAGACTATGTCCATTTTTATTGACAGTCTATGGACCTTACATACTTTCCAACAGTGAGGAGTCACTGCAGTCAGTACTGAAGAACCACACTTCGACTTTTATCAAAGTTACTTCTGGATAATGCTTCTAAGTTTTCAACTTACAAGTCAAGTTTAGTACCATTTCTCAGACTTTTAGAAAAACCAACCCAGCCTAATAGAGTTATTCAGGATTTCATATTGTATCCCAAATATGATTAAAACCAGGATAAGACTCAGGAACACTGCTGTGAATATTCGCCAGAAGTTGAATAAAGTTGAATTAAACTAAACTATCATTAAATTATTGACTATGAAAAAATCTGTACCTTCAGGGCACCAGTGGATGTCTGGCCTCAGGCACAAGAGACGTCCTCACACTCCAGGAACTTAAAGGAAATGTACTGATAAGCGAGAAGCATGACTAAGAATGTGACTGTAACCCCATTAATTGTTGTTTTGCCTAAAAAGTGTAATAAAAGAGTAAAAGAGTGTGCATCTAGAAGCCAGTGTGCAGTGAGCAGAAATCTCTCAGCTTCTTTAGCACAGAATCATGCATCTCCCTTTCATTAGGCACGTGCAGCACGCTGGAGGACAGCAAATTGGGCCGAACTAATTACAATTTAAACGAAACCATAATTGGACATTTTGCGCTTGTCATACGATGAGAGACAGATGGGTTTGTAATTACATTACAAGTCTGACATCACGGCGGTGAGTTACGGCGCACACCTCCCCGTGCCCTTCATGGAGTGCTGAGGAGAAGTGGCCCACGTTCAAAAACAATTTACTGTTGATTTCCATAATCAGTCAGCGTCAACACCAGGATACTTCATCAACCAAATCAGGATAAATCACCACACTTATCAACATCATGTCCATCTGATTTCAGGCTAATGCTGCAAAATGAGATGAAATCTGCTGAATTTCATGAAACTAACGAGGAAACTGTAAAATGTGTGAGAAATCAGTTGCTGAATGATGTAACTCAAGAGTAATCTCCTACCTATGTGGAATAGAAACTTCCAAAACTCACAATAAAATATGATATTTAATACTCTTCTTCTTTTAAAAGTTGCAGGAGGTAACCCTTATAAAAATTATAAGATTTCATAAAAAACTTTTTGTCATATTTGCTGAAACTTTCACTTTCAGAACATGAGACAGATAATCTGTGAAAAAATCTGATTCCTCTGGCTCCTCCTAGTGCTCCTAATGGTATTAGCAAGAATCCATCAGGCCTGAACGAAAACAACCAATCAGAGCTGAGAAAGATAGTTTATTATTGAGTCTCCTTCTCAGGGCGTCACATATAGATGCTTTGGGACCCTGGGAATCACCTGTGTCCTGTACCCTTATACAGGATTCATACATCTTGCAAATTGTAAGTGAGTATACTATATTATTCTTTGATTAAAATAATTACACAAACTCATACTATATTATATATTGTATTATATGTATATAGTACATATATGTAAAAAGCACCATATAATGCTGTATAATACCTTATAAACACCACTTCAAGTAACCAATTTACCCAATATTTATATTCCCATGAATAGAAAGGGTGAGTCTTTTTCACAGATATGCAGAGTAAACAGAGTCTGCAGTGTGTGAGTTTACCTTCTGCTAATCTATGCTTATTCAAAAGAAATCAGCATCCCATAATATCAAGTAGCCTGGGCTACAGCAAAAAAGTGTTCAGCAGGGGTGAAAGCTGCCATAGCTCCATAAGCAAATGTGTGGTTTTAACCAGCTGCCTAGACACAGTGATAATTTAGAGCCCCTGCTGTTGCAACATTGCCATAGCAACACAATTCTCCAATCTGAAATCATGGTTGACGTACAGGTGGGATGAGAACTACAATGTGTGACTTGGGGTTTGTGTGACGATGACATGCATCTGGATATTGTATTTGGTTGCCTTTTACAAAGGGGTCCTCCTTTGGTCCAATCAGCCTGACTCGTTTTTGTTGTTTAAATGAATGTTTTGAAGTTTGTTTATGTATCTTGATTGCAGCAAAAAATACAAAGTAAGAATTTTTCAATACTGTTGCTGCTGATTGTGTTGTAGGCCGCAGTGTCTGCTGGGAATTGTAGTGATGGCAAGACACACATTGCTTGCAGACTTGTAGCCTAATTTGTTGTCACGAGTACTTTGTTTATCCTTTATCTCAAAGTCGAAGCTTACTTCACTGTAGTGCAATAAGTTATTCTAACTCAAAAATATTGTTAAAACAGATTACATCAAAAAATTTAAGTAACATAAAGTCAATTTTGTAA